GATAGGAATGTTGTTTGACAGTCAAGGCATGATTACCCAGCTAAGGTAAACATATATATGTTGGTGTATGCTTAAGTCAAGCTGATATTCCTGTGGTATTTCGAATTCAAGTGATTTAATGACAAAAACAATGGTAGTACTTTTGGTCATGCATTCCACTGCTGGCGTGATTTTAATTTTTTTTGTGTATGATTTGAATAATGTTTTGATGAGCACCCAATCATTTGCTGAAACTAAACTTTACATATATTGAAAGACCTATCCTAGTATAGTTAGAATCTAGAATCTTTTGGAATTCCGAGACATGGCACATGGTCAAAATGACAATTGTTTTCACTGACTTACGAACTCATTGTTGGAGAACACTTTGGTTTTGTTTACCGCTAAATAGTTAGATAAATCCAATATTCTTGAGACTAGGCTTTTTTGGACAAGGAATAGTTCTGCATTAAGTTGGTTGTATTACAACTTTTCCGAGCTCAATAGTTGCGAAATGTGAATCGAATGAAAATGGTCCATTTTCAGCCTAGTTGGAGCTTGTTAGATTCATGTCTGGACATGAAACTGATAATGTCCTTTTGTCGGAAATACCAAGACATTTGAAGAAAAAAACTACATAGCATTTTCACTTTTACTAAGGTCTACTTATATGCAACAGTAGGGCAAATTCTATTTTTCAAGCCTTACCGAACTATTTTGCTCTTAAGGAACCAACCCACATTTGTTCAGTTTTAGATGTATTTAGGTTAAGACCTGACAGTTTCCTGAAAACAACTAGGAGGTTGAAAAGGGCACACGCCGAATCTCTGTTTGATAAAACTGCTGTCGTATCATCAGCATATTGAAGAAGCTTTGTTTCCTCTTTACCAATCAAGATACCTTTTATTGCTGTATTCTGTCGGATTGCTATAGCAAGAGTTTCAACTACGACCACAAATAAATGAGGAGACAAGGGATCACCCTGTCTTACTCCTCGTTCCAATGCAAAATAACCTGTTGTGAGACTATTATTAATAACACAACTTTGTATATTCTTGTACAGTGTCTTAACCCATCTGATGAAGTCGGGACTAAAACGAAATGCCTCCAGGGAGGTAACAAGATAATTCCACTCTACACTGTCGAATGCTTTATGAAAGTCAATAGAAATCATTAGACCTGGGATGTTTTCTTTAAGAGTAAAATCCATTAAATCAAAGATCGATCGTACAGTTTCTCCTATATAGTGATCCTTAACAAAGCCACTTTGGTTATGATGGGTAATATCTGGTAGAACATTTTTTATCCTAGTTGCTAAAACCTTAGATTAAATTTTCGCGTCGACATTAACAAGAGAATTTTCCAAAAAGGAATGATCTTTTCCTTTCTTTTCAATAAGAGTAATTACTACTTGTTTCTGGGAACTTGACATTTCATCTTTTTCAACACACTCATTCGCACACCTAATGAAAGGGTCGCTAATGTGCAACCAAACTGTTTTGTAAAATTCAATTGGAATTCCATCATTTCCTGGGGCTTTGTTGAGTTGAAAGGTTTCCAGAGCCTTGGCACATTCTTTTGAAGTTATTTTGCCCTCGCATGATAGCATTTGTTGTTCTGTAAAGCTAGGGATATTTAAATTATTCCAGAAAAATTATGTTGCTCGGTTGTTGTCTGCATTCTTAACCTGGCTTCTACATGTATATAATTCTTGATAAAAACCTTTTTGTTCAGAAAGAATATTAAAGGGATCCACGATAATCGAGCCACTAGTTTTCAGTTTCCGCACGTCTTTTAACATGGTTTCTTTCCTCTTCTCGCCGTGTTCCCACCAGTGCGCTTGTGCACGAACAATGATACCTTGAAGGTTTTCTTCATAAAGAAGTTCTAATTTTTCTTTCGCTGAATTAAGAACATTTGCATTTTTGGCATTAGGGTCGGAATCAAATAATTGCTTAGCTATCTTTTGAAGATTCATTTCTTTCCAACACTTTTCGTTTCGAATGCTGGATTGCATGAGCTCTGATATTATACTTAGTCCAATCCCAGATGCTTCTGTTGTCTGTCAATTCATTTTGACCTTCTGTCAGCCAGATAGGTGTTTTAGCTGTGACATCTCTAATATAGTCTTCATCATCCAAAAGCGAACAATTCATTTTCCAATGGTCCGGACCTTTGATATGTTTTTCACTGATACTGAACTCTATAGAAATGGTTGCATAATCAGCTTTAATGGCTGGAATGATATCTGTTGTTGGAACCAAATCCTGTAAATTATTCAAAATAAGCCAGTAGTCTAAGTGGCAAAGAATCATCAGCGAGTTTTGGCTCCAGGTATAGCTTTTTGTAGAAGGATTTTCCACTCTCCAAATATCAACAAGGTTGAAGTCATCACATAAAAAATCAATGGTTGCTACTACTGATTTTCTTGGTAAAAGTATACCTCCTTTCTTATCAAGCACCGGATTAAGAGGACAATTAAAATCTCCTCTAAGAATTATACTTTCTTCATCATCCAAATTTTTTTTTTGTAGGGTAGTTCCTAAATCTTTTAAAAACTTGACAATATTGGTATCCTTATTTGGTGCATAAATATTGATCAATAAATACATTTTATCTTTAATCTCCACCTTCAGGATCACATAGCGTCCTACTGGGTCTAATATTTTTGAAGGAATAATACAGTCAACTCCTTTATTAAAAAGAATGGCAACACCGCGTGAATTAGTGCTTCCATGCGACATTATAATCTCACCTCCCCATTCATTTTTCCATTGTCTTTCAGTCTCGAGTTTTGAATGTGTTTCCAGCAAAAATATGAAATCTGCCTTTTGTTTTCTACACCAAGTGTAGATTGTCCTCCTTTTTCGAAAGTTATTTATGCCCCTCACATTCAAAGAAACCAATTTACATTTATCCAAAATCACCTAAATCTATTAGACCTCCAATAGATGGGATTGCAGAAGTTTATCAGAAAGGCAAACAAAACATAAACACTGCATCGTTACAAATATGGACGCTATGCATGGATGAAAAATATTTGTTCCAAAAAGCGTGATTCTTTGGGTTGTGTGCCTTTGATCGAACCCAAGGGATATGTAAACAATACTGTACATACTACTTTGAAAATATAACATGAAAAACAAGTAATGGCATAATTAGACAACAAAGAGCCAAAAAATCTTTAAACAATGTAAAGAACGAAAAACAGATTTTAAAGTACAATGAAAACACTACACAAAACAATGGGAGATGAATAATTGAAACCCTTACCTTATGCTCCAAAATGAAATATAATTGAGCCTTTTCCAAAACAATACCATCCATAACTTTCAACGTATCTCTCAGCCTTCCGCTCCTTCACTGCTTAAAACATTTAGAATACAAAGCAAAGTGCTAAAGGACTGCTAATTAGTGAACTCTTCTTCTAAAAAGATTCTATGTAAATACAACAGGAGGAAAAAATAATGAGGCACAGCGCAAACCAATTACTTATTACAGGTTAACATATCTGCCGTTAATATAGAGCTTATCAGGCTCAGTTTTACTAAAGAAAATGCGTTTTCCATCCATCCTTGCTTGCTTTAGTTTCTCCATTTGCTGTTTTCTTAATTCGTGTAATTCTTTAGGGCTGTCCTCAAACATCTTGTAATCCGTACCTTTAAGTTTTCGTCCACATTTAAAAACTCTCTCTCTGTCCGTAAATCTTAGAAAGTGGGCTATGATAGTCCGACTGCCGTTTCCATCCATCCTTGGCTTTCCCATCCTATTCACCCACTGAAATTCAATATCTTTCACATCTTTGATTCCCAGGACATTTCCTATAAAGTTTGCCAACACTTTCTTCGTATCTTCATTTGAGGTTGCATTTTGTTTATCAGACGTTTCCACTAATTCGGGTATACCCTCAAACTTTAGGTTCTCCCGTCGGCTGTATGCCTCAAGGTAGAGGACTTGTTTGCGGCATTGGCTAACTTAATCCTTTTTCTTGTCTGTACTGGTCTGAAGAGCAGTCTTAAGCTCTATAATTTGTTTGTCCAGAAATTCAGCTTTCTTTTCCAGGTGTGAAAATTTCCTGTCAAGAGTTTTCTGTTTGTCTTGGACAAAAGCAATTTCTGTCTCCAAGTGGGAGACCTTAACTTGTATTCCCTTTCCTATCAGGTTTAATTCTTCCATCTTCGAATCTAAGCTGACAAGCTTTGAAAGGATAAGATCTAATTTCTTGGTAACACCTTCTGTAAGGTTCAACGCCGCTATTATTTTGACGTCAATGTTCAACTTACTAAATACACTTGCCGGGGAGTATGACTGTTTCCACCTTTTTTCTCCAGGCGAAGTTTCGACAGAGCAGCTGGACATGTTGCTACTTCCTGTTTTTCTCTTTGGGGTGATAAATAAACTTGATAATTCCATGAACACTTCAAATGCTGCTCAAATGGTGAACGGAGCTATCCAACGCACGTCTACATCCCTCAACGGTCAGCCCCAGTCGCCCTAATTTTTTTTTATTGTGTGTTGTTATAATTATTTTGGGGGCCATATGATTAGTGCTAACTGTATGGCCCCCAAAATATAAAAATAAGTTAAAAAATAAAAAAAAAATTAAAAAAAGATTAAGAAATTAAAACATTAGAAGATACATGTTTTGTTTGGAAGGGTCCCAAAGAAATCCTACTAGAGTTTCTTAGTTGTCTCTACAGCAAGAGTGATCTTATCAAACTTATGTACTATGTTATTGACGAAAGTAATATTTCGTTTCTTGATTTATTTCTTTACAAAGATGCTAATTTTAGCACTCTGCATTTGTCCACCTATCAAAAGCCACTAAACTAAGTATCTGTACATTCTCTTTGAGTCGTTTCATGCTGTGGGCAACAAGAGGGCCTTTATTGGAGGCGAGCTTATGTGCTATACTAGAAATAGCTCCACGTTTAAAGCCTTTAGCGGAATGCAAGAAATTCTGGAAGCGCCTGTGGCTTTGTGGTTACCCAGTTGGGTTTTTATTTCCTTTATTCATTGAGGTTAAATACAGTAACAGAACTAAATGGCTTTTGCTAAAACGTAAATTGTGCAACGGTAGAATGGTAGTCTTTAATTCTACATTTAACTGTAGTCATCCTAACTGATGTGAAGGACAATTGTAAATATGCGAGTCATAATAAAGTTGTTGTTGTTATAGTGTACCCAAAAAGTGTAAATACTTCGGTCATGTGACTTTGAACACTTAGCAGATGTTTTGCGACCATGTGGAGATGTTGTTTACTAGTTTTTAGGTTCATAATTCGTCATAGAGATTGCTGTTCATTTCAAGTTCGAATAAATGGTTCAACTCAGAATCACTAACATCAAGCTGGTTATCCAGAGGCATTTACCAGACTTAGACTGTATTGTTAGTTAAAAATCTACTACCACTTTAGTGCATCTATGTAAATAGTATGTTTTTTGGGGGCCATACGATTAGCGCTAATCGTTTGGCCCCCAAAATATAACATCATGCAAAAATATATGCATTAAGGCATTTATTGTAATGTCAGTTTACCGCATGTTTCAGGGAAACTCATACTCGCAACCCAACATTTTTTATCACTCTACTTGTTTTTTAAGCCTCTAAGCTAGTGTAGAGAGTAGAAAAAATTCTTGAACTGTTAAACTTGTAAATACGTAGAGTGTAGAGCGTAGATGGTGGCAGATGGAGTGTAAGAGCTCTAAGAGCATAGCACGTTGACCATAGATGGAAGAACATATAGCGTAGAGTGTAGAGCGTGGTCAGGGTAAACTCAGTAAAGAATTGTAAATTGAAAACAATTATTAAAACACTGCAATCCGTAATAACACTCAACATTCCCTAAGGGATATAATATTTGCTACAATGACTATACGCCACTACACCTCTACGGTGCATGCATATCTGAGAGAAACGGAGCTAATAAACATTCAAAATACTACTGTATAGTCGTAGAGCTCTGTGACAATTTCTGCACCTAATCGAGCTTCATAAAACGGGCTGGGTATAATTTTCACTTTTATAAACACACAAAAACTGCTTAGCATACAATACAAACATCTGGGTAAACACAGAATATTTAATTTAGAAGTGAAGTCCCTACAAGATGCTTATCAGATAAAGTGTGCATGTCAAATACTTTTGCTTTTAAAAAGAAATATGAACGAAATTTTGAAATGAACTTTTTTTAAATTAAACTTTACGTAAGATAAAGCCAAGAAAGCGCCAAAATATCGAACATTTCAAAGCCATGGATTTGTGTGTGCATGATTGCCAAATTTATCGGCTAACTTCTGTTAATTAGTAAAATATTAATTTCTTTTTTAGGGCTCTTGATGAGATTTTATTCTTACTGATGTTTTAAGTTTTTAAAACGACAATTTGAGAACACTACATTTTATGAAATAAGTCCAAAAAGATCAAAATTATTTTTATTGCCTCCTTATGCACAAAATATAATTATAATACAATAGAGTTATACATATACAATGTGCATAGTGACAATGCAAGTGTGATTTACATTGTATCATTGTATGAAGAAAAAATAGAAAACATCAAGAAAAAATAGAAAGCATCACAAAAAAATAGGAAACATGATGAAGAAAAACCAATACTAAGGCAGGCGAAACATAAGCTTAAATGAAATATTTCCACTTATTATTGAAATCTCCTTGTTTGTCTTTTGGAGCGATTTGCTTGAGTGAGTCAATCCTCCCTAACCTTTTTGCTGTGTCATTTGTATGAACTCTGGATTTGAGAATAACTAATTAAAAGTGGGAAAATCATCTACAAATATACACAATGTTTGCTGAAAGTAGCCGCACATTGCAACTCAGGGAATTATTTTTCAAAAATTTTCCCATTGGGAGGGGGGTATACTCTCCCCGAACGATGCGCAGTGCACGTCTTGCCCAGCTGCTCTGCGGCATGTTTTCACGCAAACCTTAGCCACCTACCTTTTGGATGGATCTCACTACTCAAAAAAACACAAGACAACCCCATGGGACCCAGTTGTTGATGTTGTTATGCATTTAAACAGGCTTAGTCATTACAGCAGCAAAACATCTTGACACGACATGTGCAACTTCACTTGACATGTGTAAACAGTGCTGAGCTAAGAGAGTTAAAACTCACGTGGGACAATGCACAAAATATTGCTAAATTGAAAGATTGTTGTTGTGTTATGTCCCATTGGGACTAAGAGCTAAATAAATAATTATTTGAGGATAAAGTACAATATTCTGCCTTACATTTTTCGCCTAAAAATTGTAACGACTACTCTACCTTCCTACTTCCAGCAATTCAACTCCCAGATTTAATCAAAGGCTCTGTGAGCCAACTCGTGAGTTTGATGAACCAATGAAAGTTAAATATCGTCAATAGAAAATGATGTTTGATTTCCATAAAAGGGTATGAAGCGTTGTAAGAGGTGTTGGACTGGTAAAGGAACATTTTGAGGAATATGAAATGAAATGAAATTAAGCTTCAAAGACAGAAAATATATGCTGAGTAGAAGTTGGTGTAAG